CGCGGGCTTGAAAAGACGCTTCGGCTTCCCAAGCGAAGCGCCACGAGTGAGACACCACACCCTAAACCCTAAACCCTAAACCCTAAACCCTAAACCCTAAACCCTAAACATTATGAAGCCAAAGAGCTGTGAACCTGTGATGACATGGTGCGTCAGGTTTAAACCTGGGTTTTTGAGAGGACGCAGCAGACGGGGGCCGAGCTGTGTGTTCCCAAGTGACCAAGGGACACATCTAGAGGGTTTTTTTTTACCTTGGCTCTAAACCCTAAACCCAAAACCCTAAACCTTGGACATTTGAGGCTGCGCCCTTAAGTTTTCGGGACCCTTTCTGCAAGTCCCTTTAAGGTAGTATATACGGCCATATATTTGAGGATATGAAGGGGAACCTTTAGGGTAAACCTTCGGGGTACGAGTCTTCAAAACAAGAAACGCATGCAACCGCAAGGAGGGGCTGTAGGGTTGAGGAGAAGTCAGGGTTAAGGGCAGGTTGTGGTAACTTAGGGCTTATGAACTAATCTAGACGAGGCCCTCAACCCTCAACCCTATATGATCCCAAGGTCTAGGGTCGTGGTTTGAACCCTAAACCCTAAACCCTAAACCCTAAACCCTAAACCCTAAACCCTAAACCCTAAACCCTGAACCCTCGAGGCCTTCCACCCTCAAACCCTGGAACCTTTCAGCCCCCAAACCCTAAACCCTAAACCCCAAACCCGAAGCCCTGAACCCAAAACCCTAAACCCATAGATGGTCACATCTCTGAATATGGTCCTTTTTTGGGTCCCTCATTATACGGGGGTGGCCCTCTTATTTAGGGCATCCAAAAAAGGAGCACAATTTACAAGTTCTCTAAATGAGGGTCCCCTTTTGGGTGCCAAAAAGGGACCATAACTTAGAGAACTACCCTAAACCCTAAACCCTAAACTCCTCTTGGGGGTGTAGGAACTGCAGGGCTTCGGGGACGGTACTTGCAGGGAATAGGGCCTGAAGGGCACTGAGGACCTGCAGGCTTCGGTGCTATTAGCGCCTGCAGGGCTGTGTAACGGAGCTTAGGAGGACTTTCCAATCCCCGGAACAAAGCCCAAAGCAAGAGCCAAACAGGGCACAGCTGATGCTCTACACCTTAGGGTTTCGGGTTTAGGGCTGACGCTCTACGCCCCTGAACGGGGGCTCCAAAGCCAAAAACCCACAACAAAGTGCCATAAATTTTACGTATTTTGGGAGTTTAGGCAAGTGTTGTTTCAAGACGTGAGAGCTGTAGGACTGCGCGACGTGTCTCTGGGCTCCGCAGAAGGATGCCCCAAATCCATTTTTGCGAGCCCCGGTTTAGGGTTTAGGGTTTAGGGTTTAGGGTTTAGGGTTTAGGGTTTAGGGTTCAGGGTTTAGGGTTTAGGGCTTGGGAGGTTCGACCAGCCAATTCGTAGTTGGACTGTCGGCCAAGTAAGTTACAGGTTTGCATCGAAGGCCACCAGGGGGTTTGTTTAGGGTTTAGGATTTAGGGTCTAGGGTAATCATAAACCCTGAATCCTAAACCCTAAACCCTGAACCCTAAACCCTACTCCCTGAACCCTAAACCCTACTCCCTAAACCCTAAACCCTAAACCCTAAACCCTAAACCCTGACCTTAAACCCTAAACCATGTTGTGCGTCGCTGGGCAGGAGGGCTGGTCCTTCTCGCTGTTGGCGTAGGCTGCGTCCCCGATGATGCGGGCTGCGCGGTCTGGCAATGCCTGGCGCAGGGGAAAAGAAGGTTTGGGTTTAGGGCTTAGGGTTTAGGGTTTTAAGGTTTAGTATTTAGGGTTTAGGACCCTAACTCTACGCTCTACGCCCTAAGCCCTAACTCCTAAGCAATAACCCCTAGACCCTTTAGAGTTTAGCTGATTAGCTGGACCTGGAACCCTGGACCCCTAAACCCGGCAAAGAACTTCAATCCATCACGCGAGGCTTGTCCAAGCTTGCGCCCTTAAGCCCAGAATCCCAAAACCCAAAACCCAAAACCCTAAACCCTAAACCCTAAACTCAAGGGAACTAAAGGCCCCCTGGCTCTTCGTACGGAATGAGAGAATTAGGGCCCTGTATATTATACCTTTAGGGGATTATATAGGGTACCTCATTCCCTCATTCCCTACTAAGAACAGAGCCAGATGGAGGGACCCGCAAAATGGTGGTTACAACGGGGAATAAGATTAAGGGTCCCTTCTAGGGGTCCCTCCGTGTCCCCCTTAACAAAGCATGTTTCGGGCACCACAGGGGGGCCCATGACCCTAAACCCTCTCAACCCTAAACAAACTCCATCGCAGGTTTTCCGAAGAAAAGGAACGCCCCTCTCCGGGGGTTCCTGTACTTAGGATTAAAGAACGTCCATGGGGTTATCTGGACGACTGAGGCTTTCAGAACTTTGCAAGGTCTTCTTCCGGGCTCGTAGTCCGACTTGATACCGTGAACGAGGGTTTAGGGTTTAGGGTTTAGGGTTTAGGGTTTAGGGTTTAGGGTTTAGGGTTTAGGGTTTAGGGTTTAGGGAATGAGATGCCCTGTCTAACCCTTTAAAGTTTAAAGGTATCTGTAGGGCCCGAATTCCCTCATCCCCTACTAAGAAACAGGGGGTCTAGGAAGCCCTGCACCCTCAACCCCGACTAAAGACTGCTAAGTGTGGCTCCCACTCTATCCCAAAACCCTAAACCCTAACCCTAAACCCTAAACCCTAAACCCTAAACCCTAAACCCTAAACCCTAAACCCTAAACCCTAAACCCTAAACCCTAAACCCTAAACCCTAAACCCTAAACCCTAAACCCTATCCAGGGTCTTTGGCGGGAAAGCGCGCTCCATCACTTGGAGGCCCTCAAACTTAGCTACAACCCTAAACCCTAAACCCTGAACCCTACACCCTAAACCCTCAACCCTTTGGGTCTTCTGAACCACCCTAAACCCTAAACCCAAAATCCTAAACCCCAAACCTTAACTCCTAAATCCTAAACCTTAGATTTTCCCTAAACCCCAAAACCAAAAAAACAACGGCTGTCTTTTTGTTGGCTTTCCGAGAAGGCATCGTGTGGTGCGGCGTAGGCGCCGCATGCCCCAAGACGGCAAAGACTTGGGGAGTAGGGTAAGGCCCTGAACGTAAACCCTAAACCCTATAAAATCTAAACCCCCAAATCCCAAACCCTGATAGCTGTAACCTGGAAGAAAAGGGATGAACTCTCCTCATAGCTACCCTAAACCCTAAACCCTGAACCCTAAACGCTAAGCCCTAAACCCTAAACCCTTTCCAGGTTGCCACTAACTTAATGGAAAGGACCGAACCCCTGAAACTGCAGGCAGAGGGTTTAGGGTTTAGGGTTTAGGGTTTAGGGTTTAGGGTTTAGGGTTTAGGGTTTAGGGTTTAGGGTTTAGGGTTTAGGGTTTAGGGTTTAGGGTTTAGGGTTTAGGGTTTAGGGTTTAGGGTTTAGGGATTAGGGCTTAGGGTTTAGGGCTTAGGGTTTAGGGTGCAGGGCCTATATCGACCCATCAGTCTTTTCAACCTTATGGTAATCCTGCACTCCCCTTGCAACCATTGGTTGCACATTGCCAGTTGCCAAGCCAAATTCCCCTGAGAACCATCACACAGAAGATGCCTATTATTCCCCTGTTTCGGGGTGCAGGGTTTAGGGTTTGGGGTACTTCCTGTACACGAAACCTGAAGTTAAGGAAGCCATAATCATAGGAACACCTCAACCCAAAACCATGAATCCTAAAATCCAAAACCCTAAATCCTTAATGGGAGACTGCGGTCTTCGGTTTTGCCGACGGCAGCCCCTCACCAGCCTGACATTGGCGCTTGTCAAAAGTGGGAGCTTCGGGGTTTCAGCTGAGGGGTTAACGGCTTCAGGGTGTAGGGTTTAGAGTTTAGGGTGTAGGGTTTAGGGTGCAGGGTTCAGGGTGTAGGGTTTAGGGTGTAGGGTTTCGGGCGGGGTTAAAGGGTGTAGGGATTAAGGTTTCAGAGGAAGCTGATCTCAGAACCCTAGGAACCAGAAGACCCGCGCCTGAACAAAACAATCGGGTTTAGGGTTTAGGGCTCTAAGCCCTATGCCTTCAACCCCAAACTCAGGTACTTGTCATTATGGCTCCAAGCCCTTAAACCACAATTAAAAGTGAGTAATGGGCCCGACAAAGGACGTTAGGGGTGGGGGAGGAACTGGGAAGTCCCCAAGCCCTTCGGGGTTTGTACTTGCCAACCTTTTTTTTGCTGCGCAGCAAAAAAACATCAGTCGGGTTCTGCCACTTGAAGAGGCAGGGAGGAATATACCCTCACGATGGTTGATTTGCTTGCATGCGCATCGGCATGCCTGCTTGCTTGCTCCTTACCTACTTGCAGCTTGACTAGCCTGCGCCAGTGAAACTCGCAGCATTGTTCGCCACGTGGGATTCATGCGCCCCCTTTGGTGGCGAAAGCATTAAAAGGATCACGTAGTCAAAGCACAGCAAATCTCACCATGCCTTTGCTCAGGCTGTATGTGCCCTAAACCCTAAACACTAAAACCTGAATTCTAGAAAGCCTAGGGTCCATCCAGACTGGGTAGCCCTGTAACCATATTATGGTCCAAGGGCCCTTTTTGGGGGGTGTGGTTACTCTAACTAGTTCATGGTTGGGATAGTATTAAATCAAATTAAGCTTCTTTTCCTCATGGAGTTTAAGTATCCTTAAAAATGCAAAATGTTCCCCCCACTATGGCAAAATTAACAAGCAAACGGGGTGCCCGCAAAACCCGCTAAACCCCAAACCCCAACCCCCAAACCCTAAACCCTAAGTAGATTGAAGCTGTAGGGTTCCCTGCGAAGACTGAAAGAACCTGAGCGTGGCTCGGAGCACGTGTGTCGCCTCGGCCCCTTCTGGAGTGAGGCTGTGAAGAAGAAAGAACCCTAAACCCTAAACCCTAAACCCTGAACTCTGAACCCTAAACCCTAAACCCTAAACCCTAATCCAAACCCTAAACCCTAAACCTAAACCACGAAGTTCTTGAGCGACTCAGATGGACACGAAGTCGTCTTCTTCCGGCTCCCTCCATTCGGTAGCAGCGGCCGCAGCGGTAACGCTCCAGCTGGAAAGCTGTGCGATTTCAGCACCATCGGCGGCGGGCCGGGGCCTACAATCAAGGGGGTTTTGCCTGGGACCTTGGGATTATTGGGAACCCTTTTTAAGGATTCGTCAGGTAGTATACAGGCCACATTCGGAGTAACGAAGCAAGGATAGCCCTTAAAACCTTCTGAAGAATATTCCTAAGCATGATCCTCTTCAACCCAAAAGGGGGACAGGAAAAACACATTTTTAAGGGCCTACCTAGTAAGGGGAACCTTTGGTTGTAGAACCTTAGGGGTACGAGTCTAACCCTCAACCCTCAACCCTCAACCCTAAACCCTAAACCCTAAACCCTAAACCCTAAACCCTAAACCCTAAACCCTAACCCTGGACTTTACGGCTCGAAGCTTTGGGGCCCCCTTTTTGTGAGGGCAAGACGGCATAAGGATCCACAACCCTAAACCCTAAACCTTAAACCCCAAACCCTAAACCCTAAACCCCAAACCCTAAACCCTAAACCCCAAACCCTGAACCCTAAACCCCAAACCCTCAACCCTAAACCCCAAACCCTAAGCCCTAACCCCTAAACCCTAAACCGCCCCCTTACAGTTGGGGGGGTCTCTTCGCACCTGACGAGGCTTTTGAGCCGCTCGTGCATCCCAACCTTCGCAGCATCTGCGCCATATTACAGCAAACCCTATACCCTAAACCCCAAACCCTAAACCCTAAACCCTAAACCCTAAACCCTAAACCCTAAACCGCAAACCCCTATCGTAGACCGTAAACCGCAAACCCTAGACCCTAAACCCCTCAAACCCCTATCCTGGGAGCAGCAGTGGTGCCTCCTCATGTAGGCGGCAATTCCGGCCGACATCCCGGCCCAGCTCTCAGTAGGGTCCGCGAACCTTGGGGGTTTGGGGTGTAGGGTTTAGGGTTTAGGGTTTAGGGCTAGGGTTTAGGGGTTAGGGTTTAGGGTGCAGGGATTAGAGTTTAGGGTTTCGGGTAGGCACGACAGGGTTCAGGCTACTTGGTAACCCAGTAATATCTGTACTTATAACAAACTGAAAACTCTAGTAGGGTACTTAAAAGGCGTTTAGGTGGGTTATAAGTACAGGAATAATTGGGTTACTAAATACCATGAACCTCCAAGTAGGGCTTAGGGTTTGGGGTTTGGGGTTTCGGGTTTAGGAGGATCAGGGGGACCTAGTAAGCAGTTGTAGGTCCATTGACTAGGATAACCCCCCACCCCCCCCCCCCTCCCAATTTGGTACTGTGTTTGTATACTTGGGGTCCCGGGGAAGGTCTTGCCTAAACCCCACAGCCTACCCAAAGGCTCCTATGTAGTACCTTTTTGGGGTAGTATACTAGAATCCCTTGTAACTAACCCGAAAAGGAACTACATCGGAGCCTTCAGGTAAACCCTGCAGTCAAGCAACCTCGTGTCATCGCCAGACCCTCGCGGGTGCGCAGCTCCAGATTCCAAACCCTGGAGTTGGAGACTGTCAGACCCATCTTCCGCAGCTTCAAGCCGTTGGAACCTACCGGTTTAGGGTTTAGGGTTTAGGTCTAAGGGATTTGGGGTTGGGGCTTACTTACTTCTGCAAGAAGCACGGAAGTAAAAAAGTGGTTAAGCTCTGGTATTCCTGCACAATCAGGAAACCCTATCAAAAGTCACCGCTCAACTCCTGGGCTACCTAACTAAGTTTAGGGTTTAGGGTTTATATGGGGTTTAGGGGTTAGGGGCTAGGGTTGCAAGGGTCAGGGGCCCCTAAACCCTAAACCCTAAACCCTAAACCCTACACCCTAAACCCTAAGCACCTGCAGGGATGCTGCCCAAAGAGTAAGCGGACGAGCATGGGCCCCAATACCGGAACGCGTGCCGTACGAGAGGGTCCTGCGAAGGCCATCCTTAGTAGCCCAGTAAATGTTGTAATAAGGGCGGGTTTAGGGTTTAGGGTTTAGGGTTTAGGGTTTAGGGTTTAGGGTTTAGGGTTTAGGGTTACTTTATAAGGGAACCTTGAACCCCCAAAAAGGGAAAAAGGTACCAGTGGGCTACCAAGCATCATAATCAGCAAGGGCACGGCCACACCATGCAAAATCACATCTCCCCACTTGCCACCTGCGGGTACGCCTGGAATGAACTTGGGAATGAAGAGCAGCAAGAGTGACCCAGAACTCTGTGCGAATGCCCTTCGGTCGCGTGGCAGCAGCTGGAAACCAATGCCTACGATAAGGGCCTCTGCTGTTGCAGCGAAAGGAACCCATTGAAATCCTGGCTCGATCCTCCAGATTGAGGTGTTAAAGGCCGCTGTAATCCAGAACCTTGTAGGGAATCGGAAAAGTGGGACCTACCCTAAACCCTAAACCCTCAACCCTCAACCCTAAACCCTAACCCTTATATTCACTATACATAGTAAGGGCCCATACTTCGGATCCCTGCGAACCCCTTTAACTAAACAAGGGCAGGGACGATACTGGGGACCCTTATTATCGAACCTTAGGCCCTGGGACCGAATGAACACCGGTTAAGGGTTAGGGTTTAGGGTTTAGGGTTTAGGGTTTAGGGTTTAGGGTTTAGGGTTTAGGGTTGAGGGCTCTAGGGTTCCTATACGTCAACGGGAGTTGTCGTATTGTAGTAGTGTCGACTCTCATGTAGTAGTGTAGGCGAAATGACCCCCCCCCCCCCAATTTTAGGATTCGTGTGGTTTCCCTAAACCCTAAACCCTAAACCCTCAACCCTCAACCCTAAACCCTAAACCCAGAGAACGACATGTTGATGGCGAAGATGGCGCGACTCCAACTTGTGGCGTTGCCCAGCGCCCCCACCCGAGCTGTGGCTCTACGCAGCTCCGACGTGGAAAGGTTCATCCGAAGCAGAACCGCCACAGCCTCTGAGACCCTAAACCCTAAACCCTGGACTCTGGATCTCAGAGATATCTATCTTAGGGTAGCTCCATGGTCCCTGAATATGGGGGGCCCTGAACAGGGGGCACCTAGAGATAAATTACCCCTTACCCTGACCATGTTTCGGGCCTAGGTAACTGCCCTGTGGTGTACGACATCATGATAATATGCCTGTTACCCAGCGCCCCCCCCCCCCCCCTCCACACCCCCCACCCGACAAAAGCGGCATAAGGACAACAATAGGGGATCACTAACCCTAAACCCTAAACCCGAAACCCTAAACACTAAACTCTCTCTCTCTCTCTCTCTGTGGGTCCACAGCCTTGTCAACATCAGCCTCGGCCCGATTTTCCGCGATGATTTCGCGGATGCGCTTGCCATCTGCCAGGTTCCTATAGAACCCTAGCCCAACAAATGCAATTTCAGCTGCTTAGGAATTAAACAAAGTACCCCCAAAAACAGAAACGAATCCCAAGTATCCCAAAGGTTCGAGGTTTTGGCATCGCGGATCCGACCGGTGAACCCGTCGCGCAGCTGCTTAGCTTGCTTGACGGCCTCGATACCCAACAGCCGATCGCACTCCATGGCCCATGCAATGATCGGCGCCATCAGAAACCTAGCTACTAGTTGGTTAAGTACCCCGAAAGAAAAAATGGTAATCCCTATATGAACCTTAATAAGGAAGAATGTGCCTATTTTTTCGGGGTTCTTAAGAAATTAGTAGCTTGGGTGCTGAGTTCCCTTGGGCGAAAAAGGTTCAGCTTTGGGGTTTAAAGGGATTGTAGACTACCCCAAAAGGTGAAAAGCTACCCAGCGCCTAAGAAACGGCACGAAGTTTGGAGGCCTCTGGAAGGACGTCTGGAAAGTGCTGGCTGCCAACACGGCGGCCAAAAATGCGCTGCTGGCAAACAATGCCACTTGAGTTACCTTCCACTCGTACTTTTGCCTCCACATCAGCAAGGCACAGGTACTGGCAGAGAGAATCGTCAAGACTGCGAAGGCCAATGTAAGCCAAACCATGGGGCCTTCCCGCACCACTCTCCACTCCCTATTTCCTCAGCTGTCCAGTAACCTGGGGGAACTAAAGGTTCACCTTTGGGATTCTTAGGGGATTGTATTACCACAAAAAGGTTAAAGGTTACCTACTCTACTACTAGGTTTCCGACCATCACCATGCTGAAGCAGGTGCCTAACATCAGCATTGACCAACTACATGCCCTCAGCGACCTCGCCCAGAATTGTGGCGGTGGAGGTGTGGCCATGTAAATCGCCTTGTCCCAGGTCATTGCAAGGTACGCCTCGAGAACGTGCACGGTTTAGGGTTTAGGGTTTGGGCTTAGAGCTTAGGGCTTAGGGCTTAGGGCCTCGGGTTTAGGGTGAAAAAAGTCTCAGCGTGGAGAGTTTGATTCAGCTCTTTTTTCTCGAGAACCCTAAACCCTAAACCCCAAACCCTACAGCTTCAGTGATGTCGGACAGTAGATGTCGCAGGATTTCCGTCAGAGCCCTCGGGGGTCTTCTCCAGGGGTTGTACCTTGGAGCCTTACTTGGAGGTTTTAGGTTTTAGGGTTTAGGGTTCAGGGCACTTTTGGCCCAAGTAAGGAAAACGGCGCTATTTGCAATCCGCATCTTCATGTCTGATAGTCTTGCACTGGACGTTTCATCGCTCGGGTTCTGAGACACCATATGAACCCCAAACCTTAAACCCTAAACCCTAAACCCTAAACCCTAAACCCTAAACCCCAAACCCTAAACCCCCAAAACGCAAACAACCTTGGCCATGTGCCATGGGAGCTCAGCAGTCTCTAGGGTCCATAACCCCGAACCCTGTAAACCCTGGACCCTGCCATCCCTAAACCCTAAACCCTGTAAACCCTAAAACCCTGTAAACCCTAACCCTAAACCCTAAACCCTAAACCATAAACCCTAAACCCTAAACCCTAAACCCTAAGATGTTCAAGAGCTCATGCCTCGAAAACGCACCATGCCCGCGTGTAGATGCTTTCCCGCAGGTTCGGTGCTGCTAGCACCTAGGGTTTAGGTTTTAGGGTTTCGGGGCTTAGGGTTTATAGGCTTGAGGGTTTAGGGTTGAGGGTCCGGGGGTTCAGGGTTTACAGGGTTTATAGATAGGGTTGAGGGTTTAGGGTTGAGGGTTCGGGGGTTCAGGGTTTATACAGTTTATAGGGTTTCGGGTTTAGGGTTTAGCGTTCAGGGTTCGGGGTTTATAGAGTTTATAGGGTTGAGGGTTTAGCGTTTAGGTTTTCAGGGTTTATAGGGTTTATAGGGTTTACAGGATTTATGGGGTTTAGGGGCTCAGAGTTAGGGGTTTAAGGTTTATAGGGTTTAGGGGTTTAGCATTTATGGGGTTAGGGCTTAGGGATTCGGGGTTTCAGGCTTTAGGGGTTCAGGGTTTCGAGGTTTAAGGTTTGTGGGGTTTAGGGTTTAGGGTTTAGGGTTTATAGGGGTTCTGGTTTTAAGGGTTTAGGGTTATAGGGGTTAGGGGTCAGGGTTTCGGGGTTTAGGGTTTTTAGGGCTTAGGGTTTAGGGTGTTAGTGTTTAGGGTTTGTATGGTTTAGGGTTTAGGGTTTAGGGTTTAGGGTTTAGGGTTTAGGGTTCAGGGTTTAGGGTTTAGGGTTTGGGGTTTGGGGTTTAGGGTTTAGGGTCCGCCGACCCTGGCGGCGTGTTGGATGGGTTTGAGGAGGTGAAAACCTCCCCCCCCCCACAACCCCCCCCCCCCACCCCCCCCACCCCCCCCCCACCCCGCCCCCACCCGCCCCCCCCTCCCCCTCCCCCCCCCCACCCCCCCCCCCCACCCCCCCCCCCACCCCCCCCCCCCACCCCCACCCCCCCCCCCCCCCCCCACCCCCCCCACCCCCCCCACCCCCCCCACCCCCCCCCCCCCCACCCCCCACCCCCACCCCACCCCCCCCACCCCCCCCCCCACCCCCCCCCCCAGTAAGATGGACACTTGAGGCTTGCTGCACGTGCGTGCCTTGTAAACCAATGCTTTCAAAAGAAAACTCCGCAGAACGACGCATGGCTTTTTAGGGGGCGGGCGGCATGGCCGGGCGGGGTGGAGTCTGGTGTGTGCGGCGGGCGTGGAGGGCGGAGGGCGCGGAGGCGCGGAGGGCGCGGAGAGCGCGGGAGGGGCGCGAGGGCGCGGAGGGGCGGGCGATCGAGGGCGCGAGGGCGGCGGAGGTGCGCGGAGGGCGCGAGCGCGCGGAGCGCGCGGAGGGACGCGGAGGCGCGCGGAGGGCGCGGAGGGCGCGGAGGGCGCGGAGGGCGCGGAGCGCGCGGCGCGCGGAGCGCGCGGAGCGCGCGGAGGGCGCGGAGCGCGCGGAGCGCGCGGAGGGCGCGGAGGGGCGTCCCCACTCCCCTGCCCATCAACCGAATGTCACGCCCGCCGCCGACCCCATCCGTCAACCTCCAGGCATGCATGCTCCACGCCTCCCCACGCCACACCCCTCTCCCAGCAAAATTTAAATGTTCCCTACATTTCCGAACCCCCTCCCTTGACCGTGTCGTCTCCGCCTCCTGTCAAAAGTCATTCCGTCCGACCCTCCTCCGTTGACCGGTTCGTCTTCGCGGCCTCTTTCGCCAAAACGCGGTCCGATATTACGCCTTCCGCGTTGAAGCGCTATAAAGGAGAACCCATTTCAGAATTGGGTTTTCGGGAAGAATCCAAGAAACAAAGAGCACGCGCAGAATAGACGTTAAGCGTCCAAGGCACCCCCCCCACCCCCCCCCCCCCCCCCCCCCCCCCCCCCCCCCCCCCCCCCCCCCCCCCCCCCCACCCACATGGCTTGAGCTTGTCCTGGTGCTACCCCCCCCCCCCAAACGTTTCACAGAACTCTGCCGAGCAGGCTGGGATGATCTTGGAACCATGCGAGCGGGTTTAGACCTCTCAACTATGCTCCAGCGGGGTCGGCGGCTTGAGCCGGAGGCTCTTAAATTTAGGGTTTAGGATGTAGAGGTTCAGGGTTTCGGGGTGTAGGGTTGAGGGTTTTGGGGTTTAGGAATTTTCAGGTTTTGGTTGAGGTTTGATAGAAGCGCGAAGTCCTGAATGTACTAGGGTTTAGGGTTTCGGGTTTAGGGAGGACATCGACACTTCAAGTCGAAAAAAGCAAACCCTAAACAATAAACCCTAAACCCTAAACCCTAAACCCTAAACCCTAAACCCTAAACCCTAAACCCTAAACCCTAAACCCTAAACCCTAAACCCCCCACCTGCGTCGCGGAGTGCAGGGCCACGGCAAAAGGGGAGCGCTCCGGACTCTTGAGCATCTCCTTGGTAGCCCAAGTAGCCATCTTGTGATAAGGGCACCCTTGTTTGGGTTCCTAAACCCTGAACCCCAAACCCTAAACCCTAAACCCCAAACCCTACACCCTAAAGCCTAAAAACCACAGGGCTACCCAGTCTCCGAAATGTCCAGGTTCTGCGGGTTGGACAGGAAGCAAACATAGGCGGCTTTCGCACCGAAGGGCCAGGAGTTTACCACCTGGTCGACAAACTCGAAGATTCCCTCAGCCTTGGTAGCCGGGTAACCATAACGTTTGGGGTTTAGGGTTTAGGGTTAAGGGCACCCTTTTTGGGGTTGGTTACTTTACAAGGGGACCTTGAAGCCAAAAAAAGGGCAAAGGGTGCCACTGGGCTACCAGGCAACCCAGCCATGCGTGATGAACAGGTCGCACTTCAACCCTTCGGGATGCTTCATCAATGCCCAGCTCGGGCTACCGGCCGCAGCAGTCCTTTTTATGGACGATGTTACCGTCCCTCTACTACCACAATCCGTATTAATTAAGATATATGGACCATGAACCCGTTCAGGGTTCTTTTGCTTCTCAAGGGTCACCGGCTTAATGTACTGCGTGGTGACAGTGTACATTGAGGGGCCGATGCAGGTGTCCGCGATGTCAAACGGATCCTGGTCGGTCGGTTGTATGACTCCCTTGGCGATCGCGTGACCCACCAGGCGACGAAACTGCTTCAGGTCGTCGAGCGTTATGCACCACATGTCCTTCTCGACGGTCCGATGGAGCTTCAACCCATCTTGTACCACGGGATTCTCCGCAAGAGCCAGGTCTTCGGGTGTCGCGACCTCCAGTCTTCTCCTGGGTCGCAAACCCTAAGCCCCACTTGGAGGTTCATCATGGTACCTACGGCATGAACCACTTGTACCTGCACATATAACCCACTTATGGCCACATTGGGGCTCTTAAGGGGTGGGTAAATGGGGTATGAGTTACAACAACAGGTCTGATTGGGCTATAGGTGCCCCGAACCCTGAACCCTAAACCCTAAACCCTGAACCCTAATCCCCTAAAACAGGTCGAACTCACGGGGTCCCTGAGCCGCCTTCATCGGGACACGTAACCGTTTAGGGCTTAGGGCTTAGGGGCTACAGTACCACAACCAAAGCTAAGATGGCCCTAAAGATTCCTAAATATAATCCCTAGTTGCTGAGTTCATGAGCCCCAAAGAATGTGTACACTTTCAGTTCTATGTATAAGGGATTATGGTATCCCAAACAGTGTAAAGTGTACTCACTCAGCTACTCAGCTACTCAGATCCTCTTACAGGGAAAACCTACAATGTCTCAAGGGCCTGCCTAGAAAGTCACGTGTCCCACTTCGCCCAAGCAAGGCCCTGAACTCCTCAACCCTAAACCCTAAACCCGAAACCCTAAACCCTAAACCCTAAACCCCAAACCCGAGACCCAGTCTCCGGCTTGTGATGAGGATGTTGCAGATTGCGAACCCCAAGAGGCCGACAGACAGCAGGGAGAGAGAGAGGATGACGGCGAACTGCTCCTCCCCGGCAGGTTCCTAAACCCTAAACCCTAAACCCTAAACCCTAAACCCTAAACCCTAACTCCTCCCCGCAGGCTCCGCCGCCTTGGGCGCCTTGGGCGCCTTGGGCGCGGGGGCAGCAAGCGAACTCGTAGCCGCGCCGGCCGCTTGGAGCCCAACCTTCTTGAAGGGGTTTAGGGTTTAGGGTTTAGGGTTTAAGGTTTAGGGTTTAGGGTTTAGGGACACTGAATCAATCTGATTCCCCTTTAGTCCCTTGACCTTGCTTCCCAACCGGGTAGAAGCCGTCGAGACATACACCTGGGCTCCAAAAGTGCCCCCCCGGGGGCATAAGGGAAAAGGTCTAGGGTTTAGGGTTTGGGGTTTTTTAACATGCACCTGGGCTGCAAAAGTGCCCTGGGGGTATAAGGGAGGGAGGCTATTTTACGTCCCTGGACATGCAGTGCCTTTATGTATGGGTGGCTGTCAAAATTATGATCCC